ATGAACTGAATGTTGTCAGGTGTGGGGTGTATAGGTGTGTTAAGCTTTTCTTTTTCTTTTTTTTCTTTTTTAAACTGGGACCAGTAAAACAGTATACTGTGCAAGCTTTTTGGCCTGCTGCTGGCCTGTTTGGTGACTGACAGAAAAAAAGAAAAAGCAGGTGAACTGACAGATCTTAAGATTACTTGAGCTAACAGCTGCAACCCCGTTGCTTTCTAGTAGACATGCCTGTAGCATGCAGGGGTAAGTCTAAAGCTTATTTTATTGTACGGCACATGTGTCCTTAATTGTCTATAGTGAGCCTACCAAGAGGTGTTGTCAACCTACACAATCATGCTCCTGTGCAGTCCTCCAAAAACCCAACAGCATGTAGCTCAGGTGTCCTTACTGAGAGATATCTATTTCACTTCAGCTCTTTGTGTGTTATAACTTTACTCGTCTCCACAGCTGACTGAAGGGTCAAAAACATCAAAAGCTGAAGCAGCCCACAGACTGATTGTACCACATATTTTGGGGACTGCTTCCATCTGGCAACAGCCACTCTCTGCAGGTAGATGGGCTGTTCGTAGCTTCCTACAGCCTGCCAACACACCACCAATGGAAAGCCATGTTCACCCCATAAAAAAGGGGAACAACATTTACCCTACTGCATTTACTTTTAAGTTACTGTTACCATGTTTTTTGCAGATACAGTTTTATAATATGAAATATAAATCTACTAATAAATTATGCTACATTCTTGTAGATTATGCTACCAGTATAACGTAATTACACATTTATAATGTAATTAAATGGGACTTTTTTGTGGGGGAAATAAATGGACTGGTATTCATATAACTACTACTCAAGTTGACCACTCAAAGCACTTTCTACTACAAGTCTCACTCACCCTATCACACACATTGATACAACGCTATTATCTATGCCACTAAGTGCTTTGTCTAACACACGCACGCCACAATAAAAGCATGAACTACTGCTCCTGTGGGGAAAATAAATTATACTGAAAACTGCACAAATGAACTGGACTATTTGTTTGAACATCAGTCTGATATTGCCTAGTGTGATGTTGAGCATTTAGAATCCCCACGCACCGCATCCAAAAGCTCATCATTTAAGAACAATCCTATTAACCTTAATTTAAACTGTACTCAACTGCTGCGATCATAGTTTTTTGTTTTTTGACAAATTTAAAAGCTAACAATTATTATTTCACATTGTAAGACAAAATTACTGTAACCCCTGCTTGGTCCATTTTATTGTGTACCCAGACATCAAACACACAGCTGAAGGCACCATCCAGGATTTCAGGCATTGCTCTCTTTTAAGTGCCTCTTATTATTACTCTGACTAGTTTACATATCATTTGCTTATGCCTTATTAGTGTTCTGCTCTTACTCTTGTTATTCTATATCAGCCTGACAATAAGAGTATATTGTGTGTAGGTTTGCTTGTCTGCTATGGATAAATATGCATGTTTTAAAGCAGTTTGCAAATGAATAAACATAAAACCTATGTTAAGCCTTGCTGTTAAACAGAAGGCCTTCCAATGTGAAATGAGTACATAATAATTACAGGGACATTCCTGGTAATATGCACTAGAGTATAGCTGCAGTATACCAGCTCTGTCATCAGGACTTACTCTTGCTGCTGCTACATCTGCTCAGTCTTGCTGAAGCAGTTTCCCTTCTGCCTTTTAATTGAGATGTGAGGCAGGAAGAGAACGCCCTGACTGAGCAGAGACTGGATTTTAAAGCTCATTTGAAACTGAATGCTGTTCAGGAGTCGTCAATCAACAGACCTCAGGCCTAAATCTTTCAGGCAACTTGATTGGTTCTGGCTTTCTCAGCACAAAAGTTTCATGTAGTGATAGATGAAAATAGTAATGCCACCTGTAATCAACAGAGGTAATGTCAACTGGTTAAACACAACGTTTAAGATGCATTTTTAATATCAATAATTTGCATATTGTAACTATTATTTTACTTATTTTTGAGGAGTTGCTCTGACAAAAAATTGTCAGAAAAGTACAGCTTCAGCTCTATGTGTTCCCATTTTTAGCTCCAACAAGACAATACCAGCAGGCAAAACAGCAATTGTTGTGAACGTATCAGTTTATGTACAACTAAAAAGATGTGAGTGACACAAAATATAAAATACCCCTATACATAAGTGTGAATGAAGTAAACTGCTCCGTTCAGTAACTGTACAGCAGACTAACAACACAGCTGTGCCTGAGGCAAACATGCAGACACACCATAACAAAAACTGTGGGCGTACACAAAACATGCAGAAGCCATGTTAACCTTCAACATACAAAGGTCAAGAGGTCGCCCAGCAAAGAAGAGAAACTTGATTATTGTACACATTTAGGCCTGAATTTCAAACCACCCAGAGGAGTAGTTTAACTGTCAAAAAAAATTACAATGGTTGTACAGATTTAAACGTCACAGAGAGAACGATTACAAAAGATGCTGCTTTTTCATATATATCACAACAATAATATATGTGATACATATATTTGCATTTATTCAAATGACAAGCATGTTGATTGCTGGATTCCTTCTTGACTGTTTTCTCAGACTACCAATCACTACATAGACATTGGCAACTTGGGCATACAGGACTACACACATGAAACAAGCAACTAATCCCTTTTTCATTACTCTTTATTGTTTTGCTATATTTATTTGTACAAATGAAAAACTTTACATCAGTACTTTTGTCTTTGCCTCACAATATATTATAATCTAAACCTGACTTATAAAACTCTACTACTTTCACTGTTATAATTAGAGTATCATCTATAAACAACAGTCTAATTTCGATTGCACAATCTACTGATATTTTTGCTTTAATGGAAGAAATTGTCATATTTTTGTCATTTTGGTGACTACATATGGCTACATGGTTTATTTTGTCAAATATAACAGTTTACAATTCAGGAAATACTAATTTTTTAAGTATCTGAGAGGCCAGAGAAAATTTAAAGGTTTCATCTAGTCATGTTCAAATTGATCAAAACATACTGGAAGTGGGTCAATACACCTTTTTCCAAAAATAAACAAGTAAAACCTTTGAAATTATTTGATATATGGAGCTATAATTTCACAGCCTTATATATGTGCAAATTTTAAACCATAACATTTCCAGGCAAATCAGAGGTGCTTGAGCAGAAAATGTTCTGATCTGAGATAGAATGACTCTTATATGATACCTGTGGCTTAGATTTTATAGTAAACACTATAGCGTGATTTTTTTTTACGTATGCTTTCACTTTAATCTCTCTGCGCTACAATTGTAGTTAACCTCCCATCACTTTTTGTTCCCTTCACATCCTTGTCATCGCAGAACAAGAAAATTTTTTTTAAATTTTAACTATTAACTTGCAATATGTCAGGTCCCCTGGCAATAAGCTGGATTTCGTATGGCATCAGACCACAGATAAGGAAAAACTGGGAAAGTGTCAAAGTACAATTATTAAGAGCAGTGATTTTCAGTCTGAAGCTTTTCCAGACAAACCAAACAATCAGGACAGGCTATTCAGTGTTTATGCCAAATCAGAAAAAATGACATAAACTGGCATTTTAAAGGGCTCTACGTAATGCAGTCAAGTCATTTATTTACTATACAGGTAAAAAACCTAAAAATATTGTTTTATGTGATGAAAATTATCATTCTTGGCAAGGATTAAAAAGTAAAATTTTCTCTGTTTCTGTTGCTTGGATAGAGCAACGTAATTAGTGGAGTACGGAAGCACATTACTATAAGATTACCATATCTTTATGGTAAAAAACTGTAAATTTTACTTGAGGTAAAATGACATGCCCTCCTTTTCTCCCAATATCATCATGCAATTAAACCAACTACAGCCCTGAAAGTGTTGGAACCAGGTCAGCATACTTAAAATCAAAGTTCATCATGACTGAACCTGGAAACTTGGGAACAAGTACAATCCAATAAAACAGAGTAAATATTACATCTGTTGTTGACACTATAGTGTTCCAACGTGAGGCTGCAGCTTATGATTTGAGCTAGATTATATTTTATTGTTATGTATTAGTAACTGAGTTCTTCCACATGAGTGTGTTGGATAAAATAACAAATAACACTAATTACACATCAAAGGAAGAGTCATCTTTGCTGCTACTAAGAGCTGCCCCATCTTTCACTTAGTTCCATTATCGATTAATCTAACAACTGTTTCCCCGACTAGATTTTAAACACCTGATGAGAGCTGTATGTAATGACTGCTGCTCTTTTTATAAAAACAAGTTCAAACAAAACTCATTCCTGTTTCCTCTGAAGATGTGCCCTGTCACATATGAATCACTAAAGTAATTAAGTATTCCTTGCTCCTTGATAACCAGCTGTTTACTGGTTTGGTGCATCAGTCAGTTAAAACACTCTGGAGGTTAACATTTTTTTCCTGAGGCTACAATTATGATCATAACTTACACCTTTAGAGTATCTGGCACTTCACCTTGCTTTGCCACTCACATCAGGCTACAGACATGAAATATAGCAACATAGCTGGGCTAAATATACACCTTCATCTGTGTAGGATTACACTGAAGCAATCTCGACAGCTGTGGTGACACATCATTCCTGTAACTCCACCTCTTTTTGTTCTCCTGTTTTTCTATGTAACTCCCTTCCAATGGTTCAGCCAACTGGAGTGTAATGTCTGGCCAGACCAGATCATATTACTGGCTTGTGAATGTGCAGCAACAGATGGTAGATCACAGGAGGGGAGGGGGACAAAGGAAGAGGAGGGAAGAGAACCAGCAGCCTTAAAATTATAAATGGACTTAAAATTAAACCAAAATTGCCCCGTTTATCAAAAAACAAAAAAAACAAAACTACCTTTCCATGTAATGTCAGGCTGCCATTAAGAGTGTACTTATCAGATCTCACATCATCAAGTACTAAAAAGCTTGATTCCCTGCTTTTATTTAAAAGCAAGTCAGACTTCATGACAACTGAATAAGTTACTTCACCTCTTGCATGCGTCTTTTGGCCCTCTCCAGAGCATCTTCATAGCCTTTCTGCCTCAGCTCACTCAGACTCTCGTAGTACTCCTCGGTGTCGTCGCTCTCTGAGAAAAGCACCTGTGAGAGGATCTTCCAGCCGCAGGTGTCCAGGGCATGACCCAGGTACACCTGCAACTGATAGCACAGGGCGTCCGTCTCCCGCTGTGACATCCCGGGCGGACCGAAAAGGACAGTCCACACGCCAGACTGCTCCTCCGGGAAAGAGGGCAAACAAGGCTCTAGGTCCGAGTTGACGGCGCATAGTTGGAGGTGGGCTGCTCTCAGTTCCTGGAAGGAGAACAGTCCAGCCCAGCTGAAGTCTTCGCGGTTACTGGCCTCGATGTCGCCTGGGTCTGCATCATCCGGAGACAGCGTGACATCCACTGGCTCCAGGATCTCCATATCCGTTATCTTGGGTGTCACAACGTCCCATGTCCCTAAAGTGTGACTTACGCACTCATATGACTTTGAACTACCGGCTTTTAAAGTCTTCCTGTCTGCGTTAGCATTTGTTGTGGGTTTCCCTTTGGGGACAGAGTGCGGTCTAACTTTACTCACTTGGCAGACTCCATCTTTCTTCGCCGTGACGGGACTTTTTGTGTGTTTTTCAGCCACGCAGGCACCGGTGGGAGGAAGCCCAGCGATTGGGCCACAGTCGACGTCCAGTAAAGTGCTCCGTCTCTGCACGGTTCTGTTGTGGCAGGTTATGGCGAACTTTCCCTCGACGTCGTTCCAGGCCACAATGAAAACAAATTTATGTCTCTCTTTTTCGTCGAAGACTTTGGGCCGGACGGACACCCATCCGGACTCTAAGTTATCCTCCATGATGAATGACATCTCATCCAGCCAGTAAAAAAAGACACTTAGATATGCGTTAGCCAGAGGAAAAAAATCTTCCCTGATGTCGAGGCTAAATGCTACTCGTAGCCACCGACAGCAGACCCCACGTTTAAAAAAAACACAAAGTAAGATTTGGCAGAGCTACAGCGAACAAACCGACGAGCTAGATTAAGAGATGACACAAAGGCTTTCTTGCTTTGTTAACCCGCTGTCTGTTGCGTGTAAGCGGCCGAAAGCGCAGCCAACGTCGTTGTCCCTCCTCCAAATGGTCGGATTTGGGATTCCGACATGAAGAAGTTCAAGCAGCCAAACGCACTCGGACACCGCGGTCTAATCGAAGGAGAGAAGTCGGCTTCATATTGCGGCAGCTAATGTCCGTTGCCATGACACCTGGGCGCTCACCTGCCCGATGCTCGCGCTGTCTTGAATGTGCAGCTCTTTGTCCGCTCTCAGACAATGCCGTCGCGCGACGCACATCGGCTCTCGATGTCACGTGTGAGCTTCTGTTTACAAGCAGAAGGTGCGTGCGTGTTTGTCCGGGGAGGGATTTAACTGGTGACCCCCCCCCCCCCTCCGGTGTTGCATTCCATCTCCACGATGAAAATGGTAAATATGATGCTCCTAGAAAATGTCGATACCGTACTGACATGCAAAACGATCTTTGAGCAAATTGTTAGTTAGTTGACTAATATTTCTTTATCTCTATAAAACTACAAAAATATCTCTTTATCTCCCAATAATATGCATTTTAAAAGACGTTTAATGATGCATATAATGTACAATATGCTAATGCTGGTTAACTATATCCGCTAGTCTCTCTTTATACCATGTGAACGTGAAATATATCAATTTATCATTAAAAAGCAATGCAAAGTCTAATATTTTATCAGATGCATTAAGCGTGACATGTCTTTCTATCACAAACTTTTATTCTTTTCACAATTCTTTTTATTTTTTGGATATTTTTAAACACAGTCCAGTTGTACATACTACATCCTTAAAATGTTTTGTTCATTACATTACAGTGTTTAACGTTTTTATTACGCGTACACTTTTTCCACATGAACCCTTGAAGGCAACATAACAGTCCGTTTCTTTTAACAGCTTAATAAACCAAACGGCACACAAAGACAGAAAACTGTTCCACGCAAACTACTTTTTAATTCAGTAACTTTACGTGTTTAATTTTTAAAAAGTGTTCATTACGAGTTGTACTCTTTTGTTTTTTTTTAATCTCTATTCCTCTGTCTCTTTTCCTCACTTGCATACGTGCACGAGGAGCATAAACATCTGCACGTGGGCAAATCCATGACGCAAATACGTACAGAACGTGTTTAGTGCCAGACTGCGTACGGTAAGCGAACTGGGTCAAAACAGGTTTATGCACCATTTATTCTCTAAGAAAGTTAATTTTCGCATGCAACTTTAAAATCAATCTAGCGACTAGAAAAAAAATGTAGAGTGGGGCAAAGATTACCTTTATGGTGCTTTTAAAGCTACTAGAAAAAACACACAAAACTGTATGTAGAACCAAGTGGGTTAGGTTACTAAGGGCCTTTTCCAAAATCTTGCTGGTGCTTGACTTATATTTAGAATCTTTTCAACTTTTGATTTCCTCTGAGTGCAAACTTCAGTTCTGTTAGTCACTGCAGAGTATTTGTAGAAATATGCCAGCCTTTGTTGACAGTAAGCTTGAGATGGAAGATGTGCGAGGATTCAAAGTACGATGAGGCAAATCTCAAACGTGAATATGAATGTAAAATACAATCAACGGCAGAAATATTGGCATTGATTTTATTTTTTATATGTTTTGTTTTATTATTTTTTTTTATTATATTTGAGGGGGGAAAGTAATCTGAAAATAAATGCATTTCCTGCTTTTTAATTCTCTGCCTCTTCTGGTAAATCTTGTGAAAACACATTGAAAAGACATTTCAATGTAGTTCACCAGGTGAAGGTCATGCATTATTGCCATTAAAATTTGGATCAGTTGAGTCAGAGTGCGGAAAGAATACTTCAGCCTAATAAACACAGGAAACCAGAACTCCCTTTGGATTTCCATGGTTTAAAAACAGATAAGCTCTACAGAGCTTCGTAGATTGTTCCCTTATATGGAAATAGGCACATTGATGTCTGAGTAATAATCTGTTAAATTGACTCGATGTTTCACATTTGGTCTCACCCACTAAGGCATGTTCTCTTTCCAATAAAATAGCACCTCTCGTACACTGCCACATTCCCTGTTTTGACCTCACTTTATTTACTGCTCATTAATTTCCATAGTTAAGGTGTAAACAAAAAGAAAAACTTGTAATATTCCACTTTGAGACCGGTTTCATCATTTATCCTCTTGGAAAAGTAAGATGATTGAGATAGAGTTAGATAGAGATAGATATATATATATATAGAGAGAGATAGATAGAGATATCTCTATCTCTCTATATCTATATATATCTATCTATATCTATATCTATATCTATATATATATATATATATATATATATATATATATATATATAACAAATAAATAGCCCTGCACCAACTTTGCACTTTGTCCTTGTTTTGCTGGTTTGTACTGAAGTTATTAACTGTTAAACCAAACTGATAAAACTTCTTAATTTTACTTCAAAGTCTGATTCCAAATATTTATGTGCACATCAAAAAGGGTGAAAAAGCACTTTAATTGCAACATAGCAACTTCAGACATTAAATTTGCACTATGGGAAGAAGGCAAACCAGCAGTGGCAGTGTGATGCTTTGGGTAATATTCTGCTGGGAAACCTTGGGTCCTGCCATCCACGTGGATGTTACTTGCAGACCATGTACACCCTTTTTTTTTTTTTTTTTTTTTTTTGCCTGTCCCGTTTGGCTCTTTTGCCATCAGAATTGTTGTCTAAAGGCAAAGAAAGATGCCCAACGGATTTACTTTACCAAACTGACCATCCCAGCCTTGCCATAATGGTCCATTTGATTCACCTTTTATTGTTTATTTTATTTTCACTTACTGAATACGGGACAGACTTGACTGGGGGAAAGAAGGGGAGAAAGAAAGAGGGAAAGAGAAACAGCTGAGAAGAGGGACGGGGGAGAAGGGCAACAGAACGGGCAGAGAAAAAAAAATGCATATATCAATCACCTGGATCACCTGCTGAGAAAGAAAAAAGAAAGCAAGCAGAAGAGAACAAGAGTAATAGAATAAACAACATCACAATGATATATGGGAATATGACAGTAAATACTAAATGTTAAACATTATTGTGCAGCACATAAGATCAACAGAACACAGTGTGCTTTGAGGTAGGAGCCAAAAAGGGTGTAGTTTGTGGGTGTGATCACCCGTGTGTACACCTGTGAGCATGGACGCGCTTGTTTTTTGTTTTTTTAAAAGGTTCCTTCATGTAATAATCTGCTAGAGGGTGTGGGGGGGCCACAGCCCCGTCCTCCAGGGCTTGAAGCAGGTGTGGAGGAGATCAAAACTCCAGACATCCAGAGGCCCCCAGAACACAAGAGACCAAGGAAGACCAACAGAGGGGCAGCCGCGCCACTGTCCCGGAAAGAGCTGAGGAGAGTCCCAGATGAGGGCTCACTCAGCAGCCGCGGAGCAGAAGCCAGGGGGAGTTGCAGTGACGCGCCCGTGAGCTCCGCCGGCAGCCAGCTGCGCCTGAGTGACCGAGCCCCAGGCCGAGAGGCCGGGGGCACCCCACCTCCGAAGTGGCCCGAGCGAGCCCCAGGCTCCAGGCCCCGATAAGCGGCCGCCAAGGAGTGAGCCGGTGTGTACCTGGACGCCCATCCCCGGACACAAAGAACCACCAACGCACCGATGTCTGAGGGGGTCCGCCACTGGCAGGGGAAGTGGTGGTAGGGGGAGATAGGCCTCCAAACCTTGGAGGGCCTGAGATGTCCCCAGAGAGGTGGCGCCTGACACCCAACCTGACATATAGACACAGACATACAGGCACACACAGATACAAACATCCATTCCCACCCTCATGCTCTCATATGCACTTACTCCACACTCAACCAACGTGGAGACAGACAAAGAGACGTTGTACACACGATCACACTCCCCAAGCGTACTCTACAAACCGGGTCTAGGTGCCCCCGCCCCTGGAGGGGGGAACTGCACCCAGACCCAGGTGGTGTTTCCCTTTTCCCTGCGGTGGGGGAGGCAGACCGCCCCGACTCCGCAGCAGCAGGAAGGCTCCACACTCCAGACCGCAGTCGGACGGCCAACTCCTCCTCCTAGTCCTAGCCCCCTGCTCCAGCAGGTCGCAGAGAACGGGGGTGAGAGAAGACTCCAAACCTCCCTCCACCCGCTCATTGTAATGTTGATGCATGTGTGTTCTAAGGTGCATTTAAAACCCATGTACACCCTTTTTAATGGAAATTGTACTCCCTGATGGCTGTAGAATCTTTCAGCAGGCTATATGCCCTGCCCCAAAAACAAACAAACAAACAAAAAAAAAACAAAACAAAACAAAACAAAACAAAAAACACCCAAAAGTTTAGGAATGGATGAACAACAATTAATTTAAGGATTGACTGGGCCTCCGAACTCTTCAGACCTCAATCCAGTTGAGCATCTGTGCGACAAAAACAAAACCTATTTTAGGTGATAAGCAACACACCATTTCCTGAAGTTTGACTTTTATAGGTAAGGCTATGTCCATATTAATGCATTTTCGTTTGAAAACTCATTGTTTTCTCTCCGTTTTGGCCTCCCATCCACCCTGAGATGGCGTTTTCCCCTATCCGGGCTAGTGTGGACGTAGTCTAAATGACCCTTCCAAGGAACAAAACCACCAGTGCTGATTTCTTTGTTGCAGTTTGTCGTTTATTGCTGCCCACATCATTGTGACATTACTTGGGTGCTTTCACAAACAACTGTACATTTGTAATACAGTAATTTCACTTTTTTTCTTTAAACAGTTGTGATGGTCATAATAACACTGAAGGCTCAGTCTGGAAAGCCAGTTTCAAAGGTTAAGCATATGATGCCAGTCTTTCACATAGTAAAAATGGTCCTAAAAAAGAAAGAACTTCAGCATTTCAATCTTTTTTGGTACATAAACTTTGGGGAATGTGTGAGTATGCCTTCTCACGCCACCCCTTTGCTTCTCCTTGTCAAAGGCCTCAGACAGGAGCTCAGTGGCCTTGGCTGGCCTTGTCAAACAGAGCCTCCAGCTGCTCCTTGGAGGTAGCCTCCTTTTGCTGCATCAGGTCAGCGTGGCCTTTGGTGACTCCCCAGCTATCAGGTGTGGACATGGAGGGGCAGAAGGGGCGGCCAGAGGCGGGCTTCAGCTTCTCCCAGTAGTCACGGCGGGCCCTAAAAAGAGAAATGGCAAGGTGTCCTGAAAACAAAACAGTGGCAATAATCTTGAGGTGCTTTGAGAAAACTGAAATAACATCTACCTAGCTCTAACCCAAGGCTTGGTGTGCAATGACAGGCCACTACCCCAGCTGCCATGCTTCTCAGATCCAGCAGGAAGACAAC